AATAAGCAGCCTTTGGAGCCCCAGGGCTGGGAGGACAAGGTAAGACAAATGAGGGTTTAGGGTTTACGCTCTCACAACTCGGACTGCCAGGCGAGGTTCCGCAGGACTGGGTCGGCGTGATACAACTTCAGACAGGAAGGCTTAGGGTTCAGGTTATTCTGCACCATATCATATAACCGTATCCTGCCACAGGAGCTGAAGTACTTTCATTTCTTAAAGAAAGCGCAGGTGAACCTCATGGCCCTATTGGCACAAGGCCACTTGGATGGGGCATTTCACGAAACCTTCACGGTGAGATCCTGAAGTGCGTACCTATAGGCCCCATAGTAGTTCGTTTTGGGGAATCCCTAATAGGGTTCTAAATATGAACCCCAAAAAGGAACTACTTTAAGGCCTATGGGTATAGCTTGGGCCCTAGAGCATCATCCCGGAAGTCCAGATGACAGCATGCAAAGGCCAGAGTAGAGGAGCTTGTGCTGGAGGGGTGCGGGAACCCCTACTTAAAGGATCATGGGACTTAGTAAGCAGGGTTATAACTAAGGTAACTATACTTATAACCCCAATTAAGGGACTTATAACCTTACTTACTAAGTCCCATGACCCTCCAAGTAGAGGAACCCCACACCAGGACCACTGCACCAGAGGATCGGATGCCATCACGCCATGCTGGCATAAGGGCGTTCCTCAAGTTCTGGATTACACCTCTCTTTGCAGTGTGTCCTTGTCAAAACTCGCGAACTGCAACAAGACCCCACCAACAAAAAAGACAATAGGACAGCACATGCCGAAGCATGCACTCATCACAGGAAACTTGCTGCTAGATAGCTGCATTGGGGGTCGATAGAGATCCATACACACGGGCGACCTCGTTTAGACCAACAGACTGCAGCCTCAGTCAGATTCTTTTCACCCCCCCTCCCCCGACAACACAGGTGGTGTCTAACGTGAGCTATCTAACGAAGCCTGAGTAATTAAACTATTCCCTCTATGCCACAATATATCCCCAAACATAAACACACAGACCAACAACACACGCCAGTCCTGATGCCACTATCAATGCCCCCATGTCTGTTAAACTGTCAGGAACCCAATATTCATGAAACCTGTTTTGAACCCAGACTCAAATCCGGCACCTTATAAACCCTACTCTAAATGTTGAAACCAACATGATCCATGGTTCAAGGACTTGGCAGCACGGGCCTGGGTTGGCTCGTCGCTTACCACAGGAACCTGGAACGGTGATGTTCTACATTGGGACGCACTGAAACCGCATTGGGGCATTGGGTTTAGAGATTTGGGTTTAGGGTTTGGAGCAACCCTCGCAATGTGCTGCAATTCAAGTTTTCCAACTATAGTCTCGTCATTTTGGGAGAAAACGAAGCGGGAGGGATGGGTCCTTGGATTCCCAACTGCTGGTGCAGATTCACAGGATGCATGTGTTTGCGTGTGTGTGTGTGTGTGTGTCTGTGTGTGTGTGTGTGTGTTTGCGCGCGTGTGTGTGTGTGTGTGTGTGTGTGTGTGTGCGTGTGTGCGTGTGTGCGTGTGTGCGTGTGTGCTCGCTTTTGGCCTGGCTCTTGTTTCGGACTCAGAGCAACAGGATGTTTATATTGAGG